GCCCAAAGGCCTTAGAATTGGGCTCCCTGCCCCAGGCCTGTCTCTTAAAGCTTTCCTCCCCAAAGCCACCAGAGGGTGGTTTTAAAATGCAAATCTGAGCAGGTCTACCTACAACAGCTCTGCCTAGCAGTAATCCTCACCAAGGGGCATTCTTAGTTGTAACAGTGACGGGGTTACCCCTACACGTGCTGCCAGGGCCAGAGATGCTGAATATTTTGTATATCAAAGAGATATACCTCAAAATGCCAGCAGGGCCCCCTGAGCAGCTCTGAGGAAGGCCTGGCTCTCCAGAGGACACACAGCTCCGCTGTGACCGTGTCCCCTCCTGACTTCCCTGGCTCAACACCCACACTGCCATCCCCACTGTGCGCAAGCCCAGGACAGCATGCGATGCCTGCATACCTCACACTCCTGCTACTCACCTGGCTGCCTCACCTGCTCTCCTCCTTACCTAGGATGTCCTTCCCCTCCCCCATCCTCAACCTAGCTGGTGCCTAATAGGCAGCATCAGCTCCAGGCTCGGCTCCTTCAGAAATCCCTCCTCGAGTTCCACATCCCCTCCTTGGCTCTCCCTGCCCCACCCAGCCGTGGTGGGGCCCCCCCTTTGTGCTCCCAAGGGTACCCTTCTACCACTGAACTTCTACCTTGCTTTAAAAATTGCCTGCTATGGGCCTCTCTCCTCTCCAGGACTGTGGGTTGAACCTCGTGGGTTGCTCTTTGTATCCCTAGTACTTTGCCCACAGTAAGTCTCTAAATAGCGAATGAATGAATGAGAAGTTCATAGATAAATTCTCCTACAGTCTAGGTGAGCCCTTGGTATGTAAACAAAATCCTGACTTTGGCAGAGATCAACTGCCCCCCACCCCCGTATCCATCCTCCCTTCTTCTTTCTAGTGGTGAGAACCCCTTATTTTTGGCTGGACCTGAGGCCACCCAACCAGACACTGTATCTCCCAGCCTGGGTGTGCCCATGCGATTATGTTCTGGATACAGGAACACAAAGGGACATGACGTACACAACTTCAAAGTACAGCCTTAAGAGGAAGCTGCTTGGCCTCCACACACTGGAATGCAGAATGCAGGTCAGCTCCAACCACACAGAGGAGGACAGGTGACAGGACAGAGGAATCTGGGACAGTTGGTGGCCCCGGCCCACCCTCTGGACTGCTTGGTAAGGAGTAACTCTTCCACCTTCCTTAAGTCACTGTCATGTTGTCTGTGTTAACACATTGACTGCCACACTAGAAAAAAAACTTTTTCCTTGGGGCCATGGTGTTTTATTACAAAAATAGAATAAAAACTTCAAAACCAAAATGATCCTTTCTAATTTAATAAAAAATTTGTTATTTTTGATTGTGTTCTGTGTGTGAGTTATATGTAGCTTGAAAAATAGTTCTCAAACAGCTCCCAAGGTGAAGAGACATGTGAGTTACATATGCTTCAGGAGTCCCCGGGCTCAAAACTAGCCTGAATTAAATACAACTCACATGGCAGTTAATGTGTTAAAGCAGCCAAGTGAATTTTCTGGGTCCTTTCCATATCATCTCTGAAAGATTCACTTAATTATGAGATCATATTTTTCCAATGCCAACTCATACCCAATTTTGTTTCTACTCTTCTCCCTAAACTCTGTGGTTTCACTGAGAGAAGTAAATAGCTGTTATAGTTCATAGGAGAGGGGCTGGCCATTATCAATTTAAGAATTAACAAAAATAAAATAAATAATTTACTTAAATTTTCATTTTAATTTGTTGCATTTCTTGCAATCAAATCCAATGCCGTAGGTTGAATAGCTACTATGTTTAAGGCGCTGTGGAGGAACCAAAAGAAGAGTCTGCCTTCCTAGAACCTGTGATTTAACACAGGGTGCAGGCGTTCATGAGTGTGTGTGTGGCCAAAGGTGTCCATGCTGTATGCAAGAGAAATAAAAACAAACTTCCATTACAATAGAAGAGAGAGTGACTCTGGGAAAGAAGAGGTAATGAATTTCAGGGATTAGTTTAATGAACATTCACTGAGGACTCAGGCTAAGCACACACAACCCTGTGCTTGGTTCCGAGGAATCAAAAACTAATAGGATACCATCCTAGTCCCTGCTCTTAGAGTTTGTAGAACAGACAGAGACAGGTAACAAATAATAATACAAAGTGAAAAGTATACAATAGAAGTCCGTACAAGATATAAAAGTGGAAGCAAAGGAGAGGTGGCTTGGCACTGCAGGTCAAGAAGGTGCACAGAAAGGCTCCTGGGGACGCAGGAGCTCAACGGGAAGGCAGGATCAGCACCCGCAGACACAGAGGCCCAGCAAGGGGATCCCGCAGCCACAAGGAGTTTGAAGTTATTGGTGAATAAAGCACAAGGGGTGAGTGACAGGAGATGAAGCTGGGATCCAGTAACATGAACTTCG